CTTATCAAATAAAAAAAAGTTACCTTCTGATTAAATGTTGAATATAAGTAAAATTATGGCTGGTGAATTTCAATCATATTAAAAAGTTTTTTTAAAAAAATACATTTTTGTCAAAATATTTTAATACTAATATTCAAATGGATAAGAAATTACTCCAATAATTTAAAATTGAAATAAATATGAATGAAAATATTTTTTAATAAAATTTTAAACTTATTGTAATTTAAGAACAATATAGATAAACTTATCAAAAAAAGAATAATATAGATAATAAAAAATTAATAGATGAACATTTATTATTAATTAGGGGTGTACTACCAACCTGGTAACTCAGCAAGTCTAATCTTATGTAGGAGATTGAATTAGGCTAGACATCGAGTTAAGCTCAAGCCCATTGTATGAAACCTTGTATTGGACAAGTCAGTTCAGCCCGTGAATCGGCGACCCAATCTCTTTCTCAAATTGGGTTTTCATTTAAACCGGCCACTGACCTAACATGACCCGATTGACTTGGGATCAACTCGAGATTTTTCAACTAACTCGCCCAGATTGCTGGGTCATTCCAGTCACTTGTTTTTATCTTTTAAAATTATAAAAGCTAAATAAAAAGTAAAAAATTCAACTTAAAAATTAAAAAAGCGAGACAATGGAGGGCAAGGCAATTAAACCATATTTCATTGTCTGTGGTTTGAATTTTGAATAGAGGACTTTAATTGTAAATTTAAATTTAGAAGATTCAGTATTTTTTTAAGTTAACTGTGCCTACATTGTTTTAATCTTTCATTATTTGCTGCTGTTCATAACTTAGCATTTATTAATTATGATTGTCATTGTTGATGATTTTAGTGTTATTGATTATTAGTTTTAGACTTTTTAATGATTGAAGGATTGTAAATTGTAATTGTAAGATTAGAAAGTTGTATATGATTATTGTTAAACTTTTGGATAGTTGTAACTCTATAATTATTGTTGTATTAGAAATTAATTTTAAATTTAGTTGAACGTTTTCATAATTAATATATTATTTTAATCATGACTGGTTTGTCCTTTGAGTTGACCCTTAGTTTAACCTCAATTGAATCACTAACTTATAACCCATTGGTTTAACCAGTTTAATGAGCAATTTGATTTTCAATACTTCGATAATTTCAGATGAATTCATTACTCATGGACAATTTTCTTCTTTATATTTTTCTACTTTTCTAACAAATAGATACATGAATATGCACATATCCATTAAAAAAAAACGAAAGAGTTGCACTATTTATAATTTAAAAATAATATGATTAATGCCATACAAACATCACATCCATAAATATCGTAATTTTTGCTAGAAATATATATTTAAGGCGAGACTTTAAGTTACACGCTCTTCGAAGACTGAAGAGCCATATGCATGAGTTCTACCTTCAAGTTTTGTTCCGAAAGAAAATTAGTTTTCGATCATCACTACTACAAAATAAGTTTACAGGAGCGCTTTTTTTTTTTACTTTAGGGAGCGCTTTTGAAGCGCTCTCGTATCGAGCGTTCTGAAATGTATAGGAGCGCTTAAAAAAGCGCTCCTGTATATACGTTATACGGGAGCGCTTTTCGAAAAGCGCTCCCGTAAGGGAGCACATACGGGAGCGCTCTTGTAAAGAGCGCTCCCGTATGCAACCATACTGGAGCGCTTTTATAAAGAGCGCTCCCGTATGAACTATATAGGAGCGCTCTCTGGAAGAGCGCTCCCGTATGTTACTTTACAGGAGCGCTCTTCAAATGAGCGCTCCCATATATTACTTTAATTTTTTTTAAATCAGATTTTTTGAAATTTCTCCTTTTACGTCTCTTTAACAATGGCAAATCATAATATCAAAAATTAATTTAAAAATAATATTAACATAAAAATGTATATACAAGAAAAGAATTTGAAACTGATACAACAATTTCAATTTCCTAACTAACCTAGTTTAATTTCTAACAAGCCTAACAAATGAAACTATTGTTATTTTTCTAACATTGAAATCTAACTTCCTATCACAAACAGCCAATAATATATTTTGACAACTCTTCAACTAAATCTTCTATTTGCTCCATGGTAAAATGCGAACATCTTACTCCAACAAAATACTACACAAGATATGAAAGCAATATATAAGTAATTAACATTATATCAACTTAATTTCAAAGCTTTTGACTTACATTTTCAGGAATGATCAACTCTTGTTGTGTGATTACTTCTCTTATAAACTTTATAACATAGTATCCACACTCCCAACCTTGTAATTGTGTAGGTACCTACCTATAAAACAATAAAAGATGTTATTATCAAAATATGGTAGAAATAAATTCTAACTTAATTTAAAATATTTCAGCAATGAAGTTATATATATGAATCATTTCATCAAGACGGTCAATATCATATGTCCCACTATCACGATCAAATGTGGAGTAGCTCGCACTATCCCTCCAATCATTTGCATTATTCCTTGTCTCCCCATGCATGGTCTAACAAGTATAAGTTGGATCAATTCCATTACAGATTAAATGATCTTTTAATTCTATTGGCTTTACTCTTTTTCCATAGCAACATTTCAAACAAGGACATATGACTTGAGGGGAGTCTTGATCACAACAAAATGCAAATTCAATGAATTAATCTACACCATCCCAATATTCTCTAGATAGTCGATTAGCCGACATCCACTTATGATCCATATCACTAATATGATTATCAAAATTCAATAAACAAAAGACTTAGATTTCTATAAAAAAAATTCAACAACATCTTCCTTAAAAGGAGAACCTCCCAAATGATGAAACAATCAAATTCCACAACACAATACATTTAAACTAAAAAAATCAATTCATCCAAATAAAAATTTAGTAGCATAATGCATCTAAATTCTGTCAATCAATTGTAATTTAATTAATAACAATAATCTCCTTTAAAAGTATATTTCATAAATAAAATAAAAATATTCAAGTAGTTTCCTCAACTTTAATCTAATTATCAACTACAAATACTCCATAATTCTAATATAAATAACTCCAATTCATATATTATCTATAATATTGATTATTAAAAAATATATATGAAATTTATTCTCAAATATATATAAATATATCAATATATTACATTATAAATTAATTATTAAAAAAATACCTTCACAGTGTAGTCTTCATGGCAGTAGCGGAGGTCTTTGCGGTGTTGCTTCCTCGGCTGTACAGCAATGACACACGGCTGCAACGGAGGTCTTCACGGCGTCGCTTCCTCCGGTGTATAGCAGCGTCACAGATCTGGAACAGCAATGCAGATTTGGAATAGTGATGCAGGAGATGGCAGTGACGGCGACGGCAGCGCAAAAACAGAGACAGATGGTGCGACATGACACAGAAATGAACGAACAGCGATGAACACTGATTTGGAACAACAAACAGCAGCGGACGACGATCTGGAACAGTGAACAGTGGCGAACGACGATCTGGAACAACGAACAGCGGCGGACGACGATCTGGAACAGCGAACAGCGACGGAAGATAGACTGATACAGCGACGATCTGGAACTCGTTGGGAATGCACAACCTCAGCAAATGAGAGAGAGGTTTGAAAGAAACTCATGAATAGGGAAAAAAAACTGACGGGAGGCAGAGATATAAAAGACCACCTCTTCCGGAGCGCTCTTTGACGAGCGCTCCGGAAGATCAACTCTTCCGGAGCGCTCATTAAAAGAGCGCTTCGGAAGATGAGCTCTTTCGGAGCGCTCATTCTAAGAGCGCTCCGGAAGACGTCTTCCGGAGCGCTCGTCAAAGAGCGCTCCGGAAGATAGTCTTTCGGAGCACTTAACTACGAGCGCTCCCGAAGGTCTTTTTAAATTTTTTACAATATTTTATTTATATTAATTAGGAGCGTTATCTTATTGAGAAGCCCTAACATACAGGAGCGCTTATTTAAAAAAGCGCTCCGGTAAATTCCGCATTCACATTTTAGAGCGCTTTTTAAAGAAGCGCTCCTAAATACCCGCTCCTAAAGATATATTCTGTAGTAGTGCATGTTATTTAAATTATGACGGTGAAACTCAGTACTCCGCTCCTCAGCAAATTAGTATTTGATATAAATTAAATCAATTAATTGGACTGATTATTATTATCAATAGTTGAATGATAAGTTGATAGCTTCTATGTATTTGCACAAATTTGAATTTCAAAAACGTTGTCGGAAGATGGCCAACTTGATTAATAGAGAAACACCTGGTGTCATTTTCCACGAGTAACGTCTAAGTACAAACGTGAACTTTTTTAAGAAAATAAAAAACAAATAATATTTGCAGTTCCAATCAAAGAGTATAAAACCTCATAAACGATAAACAAACTGAAATAATTTCTTAGGCTGGCTAATTGTCTCTCTCAATCAATAACCTAGGACCACAAACAATTATATAACACAAAGAATAATATAAATGACATGATAAACAGGGATTAAATTGGTTTCTACATATGGGTTATAAGAAGAATCTTATGAATAAATAAATATAAAACATGACAAGGGAGGGGAAAAGAAAAACACAAAACCAGAATTTAATTGGTCGTGACGTGTGGAGGAGGTTACAACAAGCGCAGCCCGCACGACAAGATATGTAAGTATATAACATTAAACATATTACGAACATAAAATTTTTATAAACCCAGAAGTGGTCCGCCACAACAGTATTGTGTTTTTATTTTAAATCTTAGTCTCTTAGCATATGGAAACATCTGCAGATCATCTTGGAGGCTCCACATGGCGCTCCTTCGTGCCTTCACGCTTATCCTTTCAACTCTTTTTGACTCAGCTCTCTCTATCCCTAAACCTAATCCAGTTTAAGTAACTCCAACAAACCAGACAGGCATGGCGGTCATCTTCATTGCAAGTCAATGAAAGGTAAGTTGTCAACATCACATACAAATTTTAAAATATAAGCATCTCAAACCCACTTGCTCTTCATATTCTATCAACCCTTTCACCCATATATAACCTCGCAACCTGGAAAACAAGTTCATGACTTAAGAGTTAAGACCCTCTCCGATCTCTTTTGAATCAATTCTAACAATTTTCCCTCTCAAATCGATGGAAATTCAATTCCAACAGCCAAAGCAACAGCATCAGAAAGCAGGAATTCCAATCAGCAGAGGAGGGAAATTCAAAGGAAGGAACAGAAGCCGGAGCAACCCAAACAAGTTTGTAGGAGTGAGACAGAGGCCTTCAGGGCGATGGGTGGCTGAGATCAAAGACACGACACAGAAGATAAGAATGTGGCTTGGTACGTTCGAGACTGCAGAGGAGGCGGCCAGAGCTTATGATGAAGCTGCTTGCCTTCTTCGAGGAGCCAACACTCGAACCAACTTCATCACCCATGTCTCCTTGGATTCTCCTCTTGCTTCTCGGATTAGAAATCTACTCAACAACAATAAAACAGGGATTAAACAACAAAAACACCAACCAGAAGATCGTGTTGGGCCAGACTCTACCCCTAAAGCCAGAAGCACCAGTACTAGCACTACTAGCAGCAGCAGTTCTGGCAATAATCTTGACAACAATGAAGGTTCTCTTTCCAGTGGAACGATTCAAGATACCCATTTGCTTGATGATGGTTATAGACCAGATTTGAGCTACTGCAAGGAGGAATTTGCGTTGAGTTCAATGTCCCATCTTTCATGGGGCGGTTTTGGACCTGTTTTTGATCGGTTTCCTTTTGCTCAGGTTTCAGAGATGCCCAAGACTGAAGGGGTTGTGTCTAATACAGCTGACTTGGATCTTTTAGAATTTGAAAGGATGAAAGTTGAGAGACAAATATCAGCTTCACTCTATGCAATTAATGGGGTGCAAGAGTACATGCAAACTGTTCAGGACTCCAATGAAGCTCTGTGGGATCTTCCACCCTTGTGTTCGCTGCTCTGTTAAATTTGATGGTCTAAAATCTAAATGACCTTGAAATATTGATTTCCACTATCAAATTCAGTATTTTCTTTACCTTCATCTAAAATTAGGGAAGATTATATATGATCTATGATTGGTTGGAGTCACAACATGCAGAAAACTCTAGTGAGGACTGAGGATTGAAATTCTGTTTGTCTAACTTCTTTCCAAATGTCGGCAGGAAGTTACATGAGTCATATATTCAGGGACCGCTTTTTAACCAATCAATCTGTAAAATATCCATGCAGTTTTGATTCTCTTCATGACACATACCCAAATCTCTAAAACGTGAATACTCTGTCTATCACTATCTTTAATAGTAGAGTTTAGACTTTGGAGGCATTGTAATTTCATTTCCTTGAAATTTCCTTTGTATATTTATTGACACAAGAAAGGCCAATAAAAATTAATCTTGCCGACCAGATTATATCAAGGTCCAATGCTTCTCCATAAAACATGCATTTCAGTCATTGGGGCTGTTCATGATTTTGTTTCTCTAAATTAACATGCTGTTCTCTGCATGATGTAACTTTATGGAATTCAACACCGAACCCACTGCTTCCGATCTCTCGAAGATCTGAGGTTTGTGCATCGCGCGGAGGATATGGCATCTGCACCCAAGTCGGTTGCATGTGATCCTTATCAATTGAAAAGTGCTGGAGAGGATATTAAGCAGATTCTTGGAAGATGAGAAGAAGCTTTGGATCTGAATTTGTCAGCAGTGTGGTTGAGTTTGTGAGTGGTGAGCAAGTCGAACAAAGAGTAGTTCTGTAGTAGGAGGAGAGAGGAAGGAAACGTGTGAAAGAAACAGAAAATTTGCACGAGGTTGAAGGCAAAAGGAGGTGAAGATAAGCAAGAGGAAGAAAAATCAGAACGCTTGTTAGAAGAAAAGCTCCACTGGATGGCTTCAGGAAGAACGCTCGTTTGAATCCTAACATTGGTTGAAATTTTTTTTAATCCTCTAATGAATTTTTTACCTTCCAACTAAGGTTTGGGCCATCCCAACCTCTATTAAAGGGTAATCCAAGCACACTATATATTCATTTCCCAACCCTTGCTCTTCGTTGAAAGACGTACGTCAGTTTTACCTGCCCTTGTGGATCCAATAGGCATTTTGTTTTCAATAGACACATATTGTACTCATTTAATCCTTACATGCCAAATGGCTCATGCATATTACAATTAGGCATATTTAGAAAAGCGCCGGCAAAAACAGTCAACTGGATAATTCCAAAAGTTGAACTGTGAAGTGAGGTGAATTAAAACAACAACAACAACAACAACAACAAGCCTTTATCCCACTAGGTGGGGTCGGCTATATGGATTGCAAGACGCCACTGTGCTCTATCATTTATTAAGCTTTTAGAAATATTATTAATTAAGAGATCACGTTCAACAACTTCCAAGAGTGTTCTCTTAGGCCTTCCTCTACTTCTCTTAATCGGACTCAAAGTTATATGTTCCACTCTTCTCACTGGTGCCTCCCTTGGTCTTCTTTGTACATGCCCAAACCATCTCAACCGATTTTCTACCATTTTTTCCTCAATAGGTGCCACCCTCACTTTTTCGCGTATGTGCTCATTTCGAATTTTATCTTTACGTGTATGTCCGCACATCCATCGTAATATTCTCATCTCTGCTACTCCAACTTTATGCTCTTGCTGTCCCGTTAGAGCCCAGCATTCACTACTATATAACATTGCCGGTCTGATAGCAGTACGATAAAACTTTCCTTTAAGTTTATTAGGCACCTTACGGTCACAAATAACTCCTTTAGCTTTTCTCCAATTAAACCACCCAGCTTGAATTCTATGTGAAATATCTCCACTGATTTCGCCATCATTTTGAATAATGGCTCCCAAATATCTAAACTTTTCCACTTGAGGTATAATTTGATCTCCCAATTTCACTTCCAAATTATTTTCGAATAGTCCTTTACCAAATTTACAATATAAATATTCCGTCTTACTTCTACTCAGACGAAAACCTTTCGACTCCAATGTCCTCCTCCATAACTCAAGTTTGCAATTAACCTCTTCTCTTGTCTCTGCTATAAGAACTATATCATCCGCGAAGAGCATACATTTTGGGATTTCCTCTTGAATATGTTCCGTCAAAACATTTAAAATCAAGTTAAACAAATAAGGACTCAGAGATGATCCCTGATGTAGTCCAATCTTTATAGGAAAATCCTTTGTTTGACCACTAGGCGTTCTTATACTAGTTTTTACCCCCTCATACATATCTTGTATGGCTTTAATATAAGCAATCCGTACTCCCTTTTTTTCCAACGCTTTCCAAAGCACTTCTCTTGGTATACGGTCATAAGCTTTTTCCAAATCAATAAAAACCATGTGTAGATCTTTATCTTTACAACGATACTTTTCCATTAATCCCCTTAGTAGATAAATCGCCTCTGTAGTTGATCTACCTGGCATAAAACCAAATTGATTCTCAGAAATACTTGTCTCCAATCTCAACCTGTGCTCAATTACTTTCTCCCACAATTTCATTGTGTGGCTCATGAGTTTAATCCCTCTATAGTTAGTACAATTCTGAATATCTCCTTTATTTTTATAAATAGGAATTAATGTACTTCTCCTCCACTCATCAGGCATTTTCTTGGACCGTAAAATCACATTAAATAACTTAGTTAACCATCTCACCCCTTCTTCACCTAAACATTTCCACGCTTCGATAGATATACAATCAGGTCCGTTGGCTCTACCATTTGCCATTTTCTTAAGAGCTTCCTTTACCTCCTTATCACGTATTTTTCGATAGAATGACAAATTTTGTTCTCCTTCACCAGTTACTAAATCCTCCAAGTTACTAGATGAATCCTCTCCATCATTGAAAAGTTTAGAAAAATAAGTCTCCCATCTATTTTTAATTTCATCATCTGTAACTAAAATTCTTCCCTCTTCATCCTTAATACACCTTACCTGTTCTAGATCTCTTGATTTTCTTTCCCTACTCTTGGCAATCTTATAAATATTTTGCTCTCCTTCCTTCGTCTCAAGGTTCTTATAAAATTCTTCAAAAGCTTTAGAACGAGCTTCACCCACAGCTCTCTTAGTTTCCTTCTTAGCCATACGGTACCTCTCCCAATTTTCCTCATTGTTACACAAATGTATGGCTTTAAAACAGTTCTTCTTATACTTGATTTTGTCCTGTACACTATTATTCCACCACCAAGACTCCTTATCTCTCGGACCAGAACCTTTCGATTCTCCCAAAACTACTTTTGCAACCTCCCGTATCTTTTTAGCCATATCCTCCCATATAATGTTAGCACTTCCCTGAGAATCCCAAATTCCTTTATCCAAAAGATTTCGCTTGAAAATATCTTGCTTCTCACCTTTTAATTGCCACCACCTAATCCTTAGTGTTACTACTTGTCGACGTTTTTGGATTTTACTCATAATACACACATCAAGGACTAGGACCCTATGTTGTGTCGTTACAGCATCTCCGGGTATCACCTTACAATTTTTACAAAGTTTTCTATCTGTGTTCCTAACCAAAAGAAAATCAATCTGCGACCTTGAGGCTCCACTTTTGTAAGTGATGAGATGCTCATCTCTCTTCTTGAAACAAGTGTTGGCAATCTTAAAATCATACGCCAATGAGAAATCAAGAAGAGTTTGTCCTTCATTGTTTAGCTCTCCAAAACCAAAACCACCATGCACCCTCGCATACTGACCAGCTTCCCTCCCGACATGCCCATTAAAGTCTCCTCCAATAAAAATCTTTTCACTCTGTGGTATGTGTCGAATCAACCCCTCTAGATCCTCCCAAAATAATTCCTTAAGACTGGCTTCTGTCCCGACTTGCGGCGCATAAGCGCTAACAATATTAACAGTCTCACGTCCAATTATCATTTTTAAAGAAATAATTCTATCTCCAATTCTGCTAACTGCTACAACGTTCTTCTTCCACTCCTTATCTATAATGATGCCTACTCCATTGCGTGCACTTACTTTTCCTGTATACCAAAGTTTGAAACCTTGAATATCCTTAGCTTCTTCTCCACGCCATTTTGTTTCTTGCAAGCAAATGATATTGATTTTCCTTTGAATCATAACCCCTACAACCTCTACAGATTTACAATTTAATGTCCCAACATTCCAAGTACCAAATCTAATTTTGCTCTTATGGACTAACTTCTTTAGCCGCGTGCGTCCAGAATGACGCGGTAGCCCTTGCTCATTTAACACTACATCCGGGCGCCGATGCAGCGGCTCTAACTCACTTATCACTGTACTCGAGCCATGTAGCGCGTTACTTACGGGCAACGACCTAGCATTAACATTATAACGTCTATTGTCCATGTTCATGATAGATTCAACAAATTTTTACATTGGCTGTTGATGGCCTAACACAACCCTCCTCCTTTACCCGGGCTTGGGACCGGCTATAAACATAGGCGGAGTTAAGTGAGGTGAATTAAAACATTGAGGTAAAAATTGATTGATGTAAACCCTTGAAAGTTGAAACATGATTTGGACTGTCTATCAAGTGTAAACAGTCTAAGAAGTTTGAGTGTTTAAATTTTGAAGTTTTACAGCAAGTAATACAAAGATGTTTCGCATTTACTTATTTATAAAAAAATATAATCATTGATCTTATTTTCTTAGATTTTATTTTTAGTTTATATAGTTTTATTTTAATGTTTTTACTCTTTATAGGGACTAAAAACATTAAAATTATTAAAACTATATGAATTTAATTAACAAACATCACTCAATTTTATTAAAATTATAAGAATTAAAAATACTAAAAAAAAGCTAAAAGAATTAAAAGTAAAATTCCATAAAAAATGAGCACAAATTGTATTTTTCCTTTATTTATTTATAAAATTGTTCGTATTCAATATTATCGTCCCAGATTCCAATATTATTGAGATTGACTGGATACATCTCTTCTAACACGATTCATTCTTTTCCAATTCAACCAATGTTGGTGCCAGCTTTCATTTAGTAGATGTCAAGGATCTAGGAAAATTCTCACTCAATTTCCCTCATCTCTCATTGTTTGGTTGGCAAGAAACTGTGAGAAAATAATGTCAGCGACTCTTCTTCTATATGATCAGTCACCAAAATCTGGCCAGCAGCATTACAGGAAAAAATGGAGTGACAACACGGAATTTGATGATGAGATGAGAATGTATGGGTAGGCCACACGGAGGCAGAAAATGCAAAATAATGAAATATTCTGGGACGAAGAAGAAAGCTTATATCTGCATTCATGTCACTGTTATTGTCCCTTGCTAAATGCGTAGTCTTAGGTATATGTTGGAAGCTGTTTACTTGTAAACTAAATAAGGAATCTTTCTGGGAAAATGTATGCAGTTCTTGGCGTTGAAAAAGTTGTCAGGCCTTGGAAAATTAACATTGACAAATCTCAGAAAACTGAATTATACACTTACACACCAAAGATCCTCCTCTTCCCTTTCCATATATCAAATACAGTCACCTATCTCCGAAAAATATTCAAGAAAAGAAGGAAGATAAGATTGTACATGTTTTGGGCAAGACGATTATTAATGGGGACACTAAGCCCTAAGAGCTCTTAATGTGTTCCGTGTCTCTGCTCAAATCCCTCAGATTTCTCCAGAGATACCTTCCGCTGGCCATGTCGACGAATACCCAGAATCCGTTCTGAATCGTCTGAAACCCAAGAAAACATTGTGATCAGACATCAGAGAGGGAAATAAAGGATGAAAGCATAACCAAGAACCAATCGTAAAAAAGACGAAGAAGAAGCTGACCTCTTTCAAATTGAAATCATTGTTCCCGGGAGATTTGTCTTCAAGACTGGAGTCATCGGAAGCGATGTGAGGGTCCGGCGGCGAACGCACCGTCCTCCAGGCAAAATAACCGGCTAGCACGGCGGAGAAGAAGACCAAGATGAACCTGAGAGGGCACATGGGTTCCTCCAAGGAGGAGATTTCTGGAGAAACGAAGCAGAAGAATAGAAAAAGGAAAGGTGAACGTGGTGTCGGCCAAATGACAATAAAATGAAGGAAAGGAAAAGTAGAAAATTCTCAACAACCACGCGACTTTTCTTGTTTACGACCTCCAAGATTTTGGCATCACTCATCACCACCTGCTACATTCTTTTTTTGGCCGAAGTACGTACAGCTCATTTAGTCTTGTAGCGAATGTAGCCATTTGCCCATTACTCCAGCTCATACCAATGCATTCATTATTTGATAATACTTCAAGTGCAAAAACATCAATTCGTGAAGGGGTTAGTGATCAATATGAAGAGCTAGATTTCAATATGTCATATTAGATTCTGTCAATATTAAAAATACAGCGTGCTCTTTCTCATTCTAGATGTGCCTCTAAGGTTTGGTACGGTGCCATTTGTAAAGGCCAACCCATCGCATGATTGCATACATAAAGGAACGATTTTGCTCTTCTCCATGATCACCAAACAAGCAATCAATCCAAGCTTTATTTTCTCAGCAACTCATTCATTTAAAGAGGCTATGAATCCACCTGCATCAAAGGAGGAAACCGACTTATTGCGCAGAAACAACTCTAAACTAGATGAGGTGATGATCGATAAAGAAACAAAAGCTCAACAACATTCACATCCAGTAGCTCAACACCAATCACAAATCCAGACTCAACAGAAAAGCATGGACACCTATGTGGATTTCCAGGACCAACAAATGGAAGTGCAATCACACGATGTCCCTGTTAAAAAAGTAATCCATAGCAAACCTTTAATGCCTTAAGGAATTAAAGCTCCTATCTCCTATAAGGAGTCACTGATAGGCTACAATGGTTGCTATAAAATCAAAGCTGGAATGGAATATCTGAAAGAACAAAAAAACTAATGGACCAATACCCAGCCCTCCAAATCTCCAATGAAAAATGGAAGAATATATGCTTGCCATGGATGGATGCCATAGTCATCAATACTCTTGGATTACACCTTAATCCCAAATCTCTAAAGCCCAGGTTAGCTAAAATGTGGCAACTAAGAGATTTTGAATTGATTGACCTGGTTAATTGTTAATACATTATTAGAACTAATGATCAATCTGCCTATGATAAAATCCTGAACGATGGCCCCTAGACTATTTTTGATCACTGTATTCTTGTGCAACGTTGGGCACCCGATTTCAATCCGAACTCTAATATCTTAGGCAAGGTCGCATTATAGGTTAGATTATCTAATATCCCCATTCAATGCTATGACAAAGAAATCCTATGGAGATTAGGAAATTGTATTGGAAGAACTCTGAAAGTCGATTCCAACTCCCTATCTGAAACTGATTCTAAAGACAAACAGGGAAAGACAGAAAGAGGAAAGTTCATGAGGATTAGTGTTGAAGTTGACCTCCAGAAAAAATTAGTACCGAGGCTACTGATCAAGGATGAATTATATAATGTAGAATATGAAAGTTTAAACCTGATCTGCTTTGGGTGTGGATGCTATGCGCACAATAAGAACATCTGCCCCCATAACCCAAAGAACAAAAGTGAAAATCAACCTATAGAAGGAGAACAACCTATCGGGCAGAACAGTACCATCAACAATAACCTAAGGTACTCGAAGAAAGCTCAAGATGAAAATATTAACCAAACACCTCGTGACCCACTGAAAAATAATCCTGACCTGCCGGAAAATGAATATGGAGAATGGATGAAGTACAAACCCTCAAAAAACTCTCGATTCTCGAGGAACCTAGCGGATTTCCAGATCACACGTCACAATCGCGGACAAACCTTTGCTTCTAGATCACGATTTGACATCCTTACCGATCTCAACCAGGACTCTAGCGGCGCAAATCAAAGAGGACACACCTCCAACGGTCCATCTAAGCCTCCACCTACGAGGATTGTCAGACAGATTTGGAGGAGGAAAGATCTGACTGGTACGAAAAGAAATCGGGTAAGAGAGGCTGAAGAAGCTGATGAAGTGAGGCCGAGAGAAAGTAATGGAGGAGAGAAAATGGCTAAAATTGATAGACCTGGGCCGAGTTTCGAATGGGCAGGCCCAAAAACGGTCAGCTTAGGTAAAAAAGGCTACAAATGAAGCTGAGCCCAATAATGTTTTTATCAGACAGTCTAAACGCATTCATAACGTGGTTAAAGGTAGCAAGAGGAATCTGGGCTTGGCTGCTAAGCCCATAAACGAAGCAAGAAAAATAAATGTCCAGGGGAACAATCTTGATCATAATCTGACTGATAATGCTTTCACACCTGATATGAGTGTCTGGAAAAATAACAATGAGGATTTAATTTCCTCCAGCCAGCAAAATTACATCGTCATTTCCTCCTCTATATCTGATCATAATGAGCCTCCTGATCCTAATATCAACCTTAGCATTGTTCCAAAAACCCAATTCCATGAAGTCTCTTCTAAAGTCTTAGTGAATAATCATTCTGCTATGGAAGCTGAGCTAAACGAATCCATTCAAGGAAATGATGAGGATGATATTCTTGAGGATGATCTCTTAGATGAAGACTTTAGCAAATCTGCCCACTGCGATGATCTTAAGGATGATGATTTTAGTAATGATCATGATGAGTAATCTCCAAACAGGTTTATCTTCTCCTTTTCTTTTATTATTATTTTTATTATGGATTTAATTCGTTGGAATTGTAGAGGTTCCTGTGCTAGGAATTTTCCCTCATGCATCAAAGATATGACAAAAAATTTTAATACTCAAGTCCTAATCCTTCTTGAAACTAGAGCTAGTGGTTCTAGAGCGGATAATATTGTCAGAAAATTAGGTTTTTCTGACTGGATTCGTGTTTAAGCTACTGGTTATGCTGGCGGTATTTGATTACTTTGGAATAATGATTTTGTTAACATTGATTATATTTATTCTAATGTGCAACTGTTACATTGTAGGGTTAATATTTTAGCTAGAAATTGCTCTTATTTGCTTTCTTGTGTTTATGGTGATCCCAATCCCTTCCAACGTGATCTGCTTTGGGATTCTATCAATTCTCTTGCCCATACTATCATTGATCCTTGGCTCATTGTTGGTGATTTCAATTCCTACATTTCATGTGATGACAAGAGTGGTGGGGATAATTTCAATTGGAGATCCATGAAACATTTTAAACAATGCATTAATTCTTTCAATCTTCTTGAACTTGATTTCTGTGGTGATAGATTTACCTAGGAAAAAGGTAATGTTAAAGAACGGATTGACTGGGCTTTTTGCAATACTGACTGGAGACTTAAATTCCATCAAGCTACTTCCTATCATCTGCTTAGATATGGTTCTGATCACCGCCCAATTAGAATTCAATTATTCAAAGAGTCTCTTCATAAAAACCAGTCTATACCTTTTCGGTGCCATAATGCTTGGATGCTCGAGGAATCCTTTCATCCTATGGTCAAGGACTCTTGGATCAATAATAGTTCGACTGAGGGAGCCTCTAACTTTGCCAACAAGGCTACTACTTGGAATAAGGAGATAATTGGCAATATTTCTTCCAAGAAGAAAAGAATATGAAGAGATTGGATGGCATTGATAAGAACAAAAGCTACAAAGACAATTACTTCCTTCAGAAATTGGAAAAATCCCTGTGGGAAGATTACAATAAAATTCTTTTGCAAGAAGAGATGATTTAGTTCCAGAAGTCTAGATGTAAATGGCTTTTATAGGGTGATCAAAATACTAAATTCTTTCATATTACATCTATCATCAGAAAGAAAAGAAATCAAATCTTATCTCTTAAAAATGTTGACAACAACTGGGTGAAAGACCTAATTACCTTCAAGAACATGGCAGTTTCCTTCTTTAAAGACCTTTTTAAGGAAGACAACGATAAGGCCCAAACTCTCTACTGCCACTTGTTTTCCACCTCTCTCCCCTATCTAACTTTAATCCTTTTATAGGGATGTGTCTGAAGAAGAAATTAAAAATGCTGCCTTTGATATTAGGGCATTCAAAGCCCTAGGCCCTGATGGCATCAATGCTGGATTCATTCATTCTTATCGGAATGATCTTAAAGACAGCATTTTCAATCTAGTCAGAAAGGCTTTTACTGACCCAGATTTTATAAGGGAGATTAACGACACTTTTATTACCTTGATCCCAAAAATTGACCACCCTACTTGTATAAAAGACTTCTGGCCTATTTCTCTCTGCAATGTTAGTTATAAAATTATCACCAAAATTCTTTCTACAAGAATGCACACCTGCATAAATCATTTAATTGGTGATTATCAAAGTAGCTTCATTCAGGGACGGCAGAGTAGTGATAATATTATTATTGCTCAAGAAGTCATTCATTCTATGAGGAGGAAAATCAATAAAAAAGGATTCATGGCTCTTAAGGTTGACCTTGAAAAAGCTTTTGACAAACTTTCATGGAGTTTCATCGACGATACTCTTATCTCCATTGGTATAAACAATCACTTTAGAAAACTTATCATGGCAGCCATCTCCACCTCTCGTGTGAAAATCCTTTGGAATGGCGAACCAACTGAAGAGTTTAGGCCTTCTCGGGGCATTTGTCAGGGAGATCCTCTTTCCCCTTATATTTTTGTTCTCTGTATTGAATGGTTGAGCCATTGCATTCTTATTAGCATTGAAAAAAATGAATGGAAACCTATTAGACTAACACCTAATGGGCCCCCTATTTCTCACTTGTTCTTTGCTAATGATTTGTTGCTTTTTGCAGAACTATTTATTTCTCAAATGCAAATCATTCTACAATGTCTCTCTGATTTTTGTAAAGCTTCTGGGCAAAAGATCAATGCTGACAAATCTAAACTTTTCTGCTTTAGAAATGTCAATATCAACAGAGCTTTACAAATTAGCGATAATCTTGGAATCTCTCTCACCGGTAACCTTAGAAAATACCTCGGAATCCCTATCATTCATGAGAAGGTTACGAAGCTCACTTTTGCACCTTTAATTGAGAAGACTAATTCTCGATTGGCAAATTGGAGAAGTCGTTACCTTAACATGGCAGGAAAATCGGTCCTTATAAAATATGTTCTTTCAGCTGTCCCTAGTTACACCATGCAAACTATGCTGTTACCTGATAACGTGTTAGCGGAGTTAGATAAAATTTCT